ACCACAACTTTTCCTTTTAATTTTGTCTCTGAAAGCTTCAAATCTATTCACAAACAATTCGATATATTCAATACTAATCATAAGAATTAAGTCCATATGAATTTATAAATTTTTCGGATAAAAATCCAAAATTCATTAAAATATTCGACAGTGGGACCCACGTCTCAAATCCCGGAAAAATTCACGAAATTCGAGCGCCCGTTCCGCTACGAGTTCAACCATACAAATATTATCCAATTCCGATGTCAAATGGACCTTCAAATCTAAATTTTTCGCTTTTGGAAGATGTTTGAAAAATCTGATTTTTCTTCCATAAATTCACGGATTCGTGATATAAACGAGTATGGAATCATGAAATATAATCAATATAGGATAAGGAACACTTACCCCAATGTTTCCCGTAAAAATCGCCCAAAAATTCACCTTAACCGAGCTCAAAATGACCAAAATGAGTAAAAATGTCGAACTCTTCAATATATACACTGCCCAGGCATTTCTGCACCTGCGGTGCCTGGACTCGCACATGCGAGCTCGCATCTGCGAAATGGGGCTGCCAGGCAAGGCCTCGCACCTGCGGAGGAAAAATGCGCACCTACGTTAACCTCTGCTTCTGCGATTATTGTGTCCGCTTCTGCGGACGCGTGGGTGCGTGCAGGTTTTCGCACCTGCGGACTTTTGCCCAACCACGCCCGGGCGCATTTGCGATCGAAGGCTCGCTTCTGCGAGCTCGCACTTGCGGTCAAAAATCCGCAGGTGCAATTACACTAGAAGGCCAAATTTCAGATTTTTGCTTAAGTTCAATTCTTGTTCCGATTTCGATTCGAGTCACACTCGGGGTACTTGGGACCCTGTCCGAATATACCAACAAGTCCCGTAACATAATACGGACTTATTCGGGGTCAAAAATTACGTCAAACAACGCTAAAATTATAATTCACACCCCGATTCGAATTTTGAGTTTTAAACTTTTCCATTTGCAAATCTATTTTCAAAACATATTAAATGAATCCGGAATGACTTCAAATTTGACACACAAGTCCTAAATGACATAACGGAGCTATTTAATTTTCCAGAATCAGATTCCGGCTCCGATATAAAAAAGTCAACCCCGTGGTCAAACTTGGAAGTCTTTAGCCTTTAAATTGGTAGTTCCGTTAAATGGTCATGACTTGAGTTAGGAACCTCCAAATTAAATTTCGGGCATACGCCCAAGTCCCAAATCACGATACGGAGCTACCGAAACTGTCAAAATACTGATCCGGGTCCATTTGGTAAAAATGTTGACCAAAGTCAACTCAATTGAGTTTTAAAGTTATATTTCACATTTTAATCCATTTTTCACATGAAAACTTTTCGGAAAATTTTACGGACTGTTTACACAAGTCGAGGAATGATAAATGGTACTTTTCGAGGTCTTAGAACACAGAATTACTTATTAAATTTAAAGATGACATTTGGGTCATCACAATAATAATATAGATATATAAATAGAAATAGATAGTTGTAGATATAAATATATACGTTCTCAATTGGGGGAAGATATAGGGAAAAATAAGAACCATTAATAAGTGTTATAGTTTTTCTTTTAAGCTTTATAAATCGGTAAATCATTTAAAATTTGATCATAAGTTAAAATTCAATCTACAACATATGTTGTAGTAAATTACGTAAGACACTTTAATTTTTAAAAGAAAATTATTAATGAGCTTTTCTAATTGGATCAACTTTATAGGGTCGATGTATATATGTGTAGTTTAAATGGAAAAAGAAATCCACCATTAAGTAATTTAAGTATAATTAGATCCTTAAACTATACAAATATTTAAGGGTATAAAAGTCGATCAATATTTTAGGGATATTTTAGTCGTTCAACATTTAACATAAATTATTCGTATTTTTATAATAATATAGATAGATAGATATATAGATATATGGATACTTTGTAATTGTATATAACTTAATTTCTTTGTCGAATTATAAAACGTGGCAAAAGATCATCCACTCTTTTTTCTTGACATATGAATCCAACTCCAGACAAAATATTGAATAATTGATCGAAACGAATAACTATAGTACATTCATAATAAAGAAACAAGAAATGTAGTTCAAAACCATACTAGAAATGTAGATGGGGAATATCCATTATTACAGTATGTGAAACTTTATCTATATAGCTATAGGTACTCCTAAATCCAGCACATTTTAGCATCAATTTTCAGCAAACGAGACATTCTGGCTCATAGTCGTTCAATACGAAAGTAGTTTTTATCTACTCAACTTGAAGAGAATTTTTTAATTTGTTTAGGAAGTAAATTTAAATTTTGTTTTCTTCCTCTCGAAAACAATGGCTCACCAATTCTCTGTGTGCTACTTTAAGATGTGCATGATCATTAACCAGGTCTAATAAGAAGGCCGGCCCATTACGGTTTAGTCCATGCACAACTGGGCTTGGTCGAGTTGGAACAGAAAGGATGAAACAGCAAGGGCAAGTTACACATTTAGCCGATCGGTCAAAAATAATTATATTTGCTAGTCATACATATACAAAGTATGCATAATATATATATATTATTATATAAATACATAGAAAAATATATATATATATATATATATTACGGCTATTATTTTTTGGAGGGGCTATACTGTGTAGTTTTTCCATCCGGCTCCTTACCGACTAAAAACTTCAATTAGCTAGATTCTCCCTCATCCTCTACAGAGAAAAGCTTTCCTCTGAACAACTAACGACTTGTTTGCATGATTGTTACTTGTTGTATTGTATCGTATTATTACTTTAAATACGATGTTTGTATTGATTGTTATTTAAATTTTATTGTATCGTATCGTTAAATCTGTCGTTACGTAAAGATGAAAAGTGCCACTTTATGGAATGGGCGATTTTGTGTGATCGCGTTGTTACCTTATTATTTTTTTCTCATCTTACCCTTCCTTATTATTAATAATCCTATTTTATATTTTACCCTACCTTTTTATATATGATAATTCAACCTCATATCTTACTTTTAAAATAAGATTGTAAGCTTATTCTTCATATTATTGGTACATGGCATCATGAAACGATGACAAACAATATAATCTATCCAAACACTGTATATATCAAACCGATACAGTACAATGTAATGCATTACTTTTCTCAAATGAATCTTTTAAAATCTTTTCTAGATTATATGTCAGTTTACTTGTCAAAAAATTCTAAAATTAGAAATCACTGAAATAGTAGAAGAAAGTGTTACACATTTTTATCTACAAAAGGAAACTATTCAGATATATGTACGAAAATCCTAACACATGTTCGTACAAAGGGTATTATGAACGTTTTTTTACGTTTACACAGAAATGTCAATGGCTGCATTTGCCGAGTTTGAATTTTGAACACAAAATTATTTTTGAGGAAATTAAGGTAAAACCTCAAGACAAGAATTCCAACTTTGCTACTGGAATAAAAGCTAGCCCAGTGAACGGATTCACGCAGTGGCGGAAACAGAATTTTTATTAAAAAATGTAAGAATACAATTTTTTTTTAAATATATCGAAAAGTTAAGGGGAGAAAACAACAATATAGTATAATTTTCTGGCAAGGGGGTCGATTGACTCCCCTTGGTTGAATGTGGTTCTGCCACTGCGAATAAGGGTCGTATATCAAGGAATATGATATAGGCAGCTTAATTTGATGCAAGTGTGAATGACTAATTCTACAATTTAGATTTATGAATTATATGTCACCAGAAAAAAGACAACAAGCACGCATAAGTTGGAACTTTATTCGTATTAACGGGCCACTGAGATAGACTATTAGTCTTTCTAGAATAAATTAGCTGGTCTTCCATTTCACTTATGACAAAACTTTTATTTTAATTTGTAGTAGGGTCTAGATTACTTTTTGTTAAGTGTTTGTTTTTGCAAAAATATAAAGAGAGAGAAGTCCGATGTCCATCAATCAGTCCATGCACCAGGAAAGACAAAATACATAGATTGCTGCTTAAAAGTTTTTAGTGCGATTGTAACGGCTCTTGTCTCTTGGCTCGAACTTGGTCGGATTTGGTATTGGTTGATTTTCAGATTTAGAGTTCGATATTAACTCGAGCTCGATATTAACTCGGGCTCGATATAGAATCGGGCTTGATATTGGTCGGTCTATGGCTCTTGAGCTCGATGACACCGCTTCACCTCATGGTTCGATTTGGACTCGAGTTCGGTAATGACTTCGAGCTCGGTACTTGATCGGTCCTAGAACTTCGAGCTTGGTAACCTGGATTCAGATCGCATCTCGATACTATGAAGATGACTTTTGGTCCATTATATTCCAACCTTGACTAATCATACGAAGGTCGAAAACGGTTTTGACCGTATACAAGCTTCGCTACAGGTCTGAAAATAAAGCCGACGACACCGGAGTTCAGTCCAACGACAGCAATGGTAAGAATCAGAATGCCTGAAGCAACTGCGTTTTCGAGGAATTGGGTCATGGAACACCAAATTCCAGAATATATAATTAATATAATGGTTTCTAGATTGCCATTGTTGACAATGGAAAAAGTACTTCAGTTTTTTTGTCGAACTTGGGCAGAGATTGAAAGAACTAAAACAAAGAAGAAAAAGAGGGATCTGCGGCTGCCAGAGAAAAGAGGGAGAGAGAATAACATTTAGTAATTTTTAGTACAAAGACAAAATTGTCCCTCTCATTAGAATATTGTTAGTGCACTCTTAGGCTAACATATTAAGTTATCAAGACCATATATATATATATATATAAGTATATATTTTGATTTGGCATCCTAAGATTCAGATCTTAGGCAACTACGTTGGCTGATTTGAGCGCATAACTTAATTTTTAGTGCGTTGCCTTGGTTTGATGCCAACTATAATATTTGACTCAAATTTTTATTCTGACATTAATGCCCCCACCACCTTCAATGAGCTCTTATATATATATATGCCTGTCCCATGACCAACTTTATATTCAGTACATGTTTTGATTAAAAGAATGTTAGGAAAATTTTCAGAGCAGGTAGAAATAAATGCACCAGCAATTGAAGTGTGGAATCTCTATTCCACTCTTCAATTTGCAAAATTTGTTGTTGAAAAACTCCCTCGCATAGCTGAAAAAGTTGAGTTGGTTGAAGGCAATGGAGGCCTTGGTTCAATCCTGCTAGTCAGTAAGTTAATTTACTTCAAGGTCCTATTTAAAAAAATTCATCTTATTTTCATTCCCTTGAATATTCCGTTTCTTTTTATTTGTAATTTTTTTTTACGATGGAGACGTGTTGAATATCCGTCCTGATTTTATTATCATATTTATGTTTTCTACGAAGGAATCTAACAAATATACAATAAGTTTTTCGTTTGCATTATAAAATAAAAATATAAATCTTTCATTAATCCAGGGGCGGAGGGAGAACATTAGTTGCAGATTCGAATAAACGCAATAGCTTTTGCTTAAATCCTGTATTTTTATTAAAAAATTCATAAAATATGTACAATTAGACCTCTCTATAACAACATGCTCATATAATAGTCATTCATTATAAAAACCATATTTATCTTTTTAATATTATGTTATAATATATATTTTTTCTAACAACACTTTCGAAAAATATCGGAACAAACGAAGTTGTTATAGAAATGTTTGACTGTAAATAAGACGAATTATGAGTTTGGTGATGATTTCAGAACTCATAAACTTAAAATCTTAGCTCGATATATAAATTTTTGAGTCTCCTTTAGTATATTTCTATTCCTTTTTTATTTTATTTTATTTTGAATCGCATAACGAGGTTTGCTACTTTGTTTGAACAAAATATATTAGGTACACCTGGTAATGCTCCATATAAAGAGAAATTTATGTCAATCGACGATGAAAAACAAGTAAAAGATGTAGAGATTTTTGAAGGTGGATTTCTTGATCTTGGATTCAGTTTCTATCTTATTAAGTGGGAAGTTATGGAGAAAAGTGAAAATTTATCCATTATTAAACTTACCCTTGATTTTGAGACTAAAGATGCTGAAAATATTCATCTTTCTATTGCCAATCTTCAAACCTTTGTGGCCATTATGAAAGCTTCTGCAGACTATTTAGAGCAGAAGAACAAGTAACGGAATTGGGAAATAATCTAACACGAGTTATTGGGATTCATGTATCTTCATATTTTATGTTGATTTCCCCTTTGTTACTTTGTGGTTATATATTTCTATTTCAAGTATTGTATTAGGATGGATTTAGTACTGGATGTTACTATTATTTTTGGTTATGAATAAAATGTCACATTGAGTCTTTTTTTTTTTTCTTTAAATGAATTTTGACTTGTACCTTTGCAATATAATATTGAGATGAATCAAGCTCAGTCCTTCAGTTTTTTTTATGAGAACTCTGAAAGCATGTTTGAGTTCGATTCAATGATTCATGTATTAGGTGTTTGTCCTATGGTTCTTACGATATTTGATTTTCTCTTTTGAAGGAAGGACAAATATTTACTATAATTGATTTTTTATCATTTACGAAAAAAATATAATTTTTTTATATTTGGCTAGTCGTTTTTCTTAGTGTAAAAGGTTTTGGACTTCTATAAATTGAGGATCTTTTCTTCTCATTTAGTAACATCCATAATGTAGTCATGAGGCGTTGAGAGTCTTGTTTAGGGGAGAATTTTTGGGACAAGTGTTAGCCTGCCACTTGTGTGTGCCTCTCCGTGAGGTTGCTTTCTTGATATTTGTACTATCTTTTGTATAGTAGATTGCTCATTTTCGCCCGTGGATGTATGTCAATTGGCCGAACCACGTTAAATGTTTGCGTCTTTTTTTGATATATTTCTTTCTTATTGTCTGATTTATCATTATTCAAGATTTACTTTACTAACTACCGTATTATATCTAATTATTTCGATCTTTCGCATTATACCTAATTATTTCGATCTTAATACCATATTTTGATGTTCTTGCATTCTATACTGATAAAAGGACATCTAAATTGTCTTTAAGAAAATGAAAACGTAACACGTGCCAAACTCAAGCAGCTAGTTCTCCCTCATCGGCTACAAAGGAAGCTTTCTTTACCAAAACCTCAACTCTTATATTTGTTTAAATATTTAGGATCCGTTTGGCCATAAATTTTGTCAAAATAAACTTGAGTTTTATTTGACAAACACATGTTTTGTCATAGATTTTGTTTACATTTTGGCCAAATTTCAAATTCCAAATCCCAAATAATAGCTGGTTTTGGGCCAAAAAATCACTATTATATTTTTAAAAATTATCCCAAACTTTTATATTTTATAAAAGAGCCCACCATTTATTATTTTGTAACGATGTTGCTTCGTCTTCTCGGTCATCTGATAGTGTATCATGTAGTTCATTATAAAAATGATAATCTTGTATCAAATTTACTTATGTACAAGATTATGGTTTGCGATAATATAATGAATGTTATTGATAATGGTATTGTTGGGTATTTGGGATAGTTTTTAGAACTTATGGATATAAGTCATGTTTCATATTTTTCCAAATCAAACTTCATCCAAAACAGATGTCCAAACACATTTTCATCTTCCAACCAAACTTCATCCAAATCAGATTTTTCAGAATAAATTTGAGAATTTATGGCCAAACGCCAGCTTAATTAAATTGGAACGGTATCGAGAAAATTAATATGCCCCCTGCATTAAGAATGACACGCACAAATCGAGAAATACAAATTTTTCACTCTCTAAAGTTTTCCAATTTTTTACCTTCCCATGAAGGATGTGATGAGTTTATTTTTATTGGTCTGCAACTAGTAAGATTAGTTCAAATGGCAAAGGTTTTTAAAAGGCGGAATACATACAGAGATACCTAAAGTTGGCACCATTTTTCATTTAGACACTTAAACTAGGACTCTTTCCATATGAACTCATTTCTTAGGCATATAATACACCAATTAGACACGTTTTGTGCAGGTGGCATATAGCGTGATTTACATCCTATTTAAGCGCGTGAAGGTGGCATAGAAGGAATTTTTCCTTTCCCAATTAGACACATAACGGTAACATCTGTGAAGTAAATATCTCTCTATTTAAACCCTAATCCCTTTCCCAATTGTTAAAAATCCAGTTTTGCTGCTCCAACACTTCTCCTTCTCTTCTTGTTGTCAATTCTTTTCTTCTCTTCTCTCCTTTCTCTCGTTTCTGTTGTTGCCGAGTTTATTAAGGTCGAAACTTAGATAATATCCATTAATGTCGAACTTATCGGAATCGACGAACTCATCAATGTCACCTTGTGTTGCCGCTCGAATTTGTAAGTGTGGTGTTTCTCCAAAATTGAATACTTCTTAGACCTAACTAAACCCAGGTCGTAGGTTTTTTGCTTGCAAAATCGAAAAGGTAAATTTTTTGTTCTTAATTGTATTCTTTTTTATTAATTATTTTCTTTGATAAAAATTGATCAAATGTGTTTGTGATTTTTGTAGAAAAATGGTGGATGTGATTATTTCTGTTGATATGATGATGAGATGCCTACTCAAGCAAAAAAAATAATTTGGGGTTTATTAAAGAGAGTCAAAGCTTTTTAAGAGGAGAAAGTTCGAGCAAAAAGAAGATTGATCCTTTTGACCATTGTTGTTATATTGTTGCTCGTTTTATGGGAACTGTAGGGCTGATGTCGTTCTTGTGTTTTGATGTGGTTTGCAGATTAGTTTGGTTGTTTTAGGTGGTGTTGGTTGCTTTAGGTGTTGTTGCTGCTACACTTTTGTAATCTTAGCACTGCGATGTAATGTTCTATGTTGAAAGTAATAAATATTTCAGCTGCTGTTGCTACACTAATGTTTTTGCATAGCTGACTTTTGTTAAAGTGTTAGAAGATTGCTGCTATGTAACATTGACAGAAAAGCACCAATTATAGGGTGTTTGCCTAAAACAAAACAAGACATAGCCAATATCATTGATTACTGCTATGTAACATTGGCACAAAGAAATGATCCTTACCAAGTTTAATAAGAACAAGAAGATTACACAATTGAATAGATGTCACGACCTAAACTAACCCCTGTCGTGATGGCGCCTATCGTGGAACTAGGCAAGCCGACTCATTTCCAAAACAAACCGATATTTTCATTTCAAAGATAATTTCAATATTATTTAACACAAAAACCTTCATAAAGGAGTTCCAATCAAAATAAAAGTGCGGAAGGAAAAGCCCGACATCGGGGTGTCACTAGTCATGAGCATTTACAATAATCTATCTAACAATATCAAGGCTAACTCAGCCTGAAAAATAGATAAATATAACTAGAGAAAGATAAGAGGGAGAAGAGCAGGGCTGCGATCGCCAGGCAGCTACCTTGTTATCCTCGGAAAAATTTGCAATCAGAACAATCAACAACCGCTATCGTGTCCAGCTACACCTGGATTTGCACATAAGGTGCAGGGAGTAACGTGAGTACGCCAGCTCAGTAAGTAACAACAATAAATAAAGACTGAGCAGTAGTGACGAGCAGTAAAGCTTTTAACATTCATATCAGAAAATCTCAGTAAAATACCACATGCTTTTAAAATCAGGATTTGAATCAAAATATCTCGTTTAAACCCAATTCCAGCAAAAATCATTTAAAGATATTTTTCAACAGTTTTCAAACAGAGGAAAAATGCAAAGGTGAGCAAAAATGATGAAATCATAAACAGCCTCTCGGGCAAAACATCACTCATATACAACCCCTCGGGAAAACCTCACAGTCACTCGTGCCACTCGGGCATACCTCACAATCACTCTTGCCACTCGGGCATACCTCACAATCACTCATGCTTCTCAGACACTCAACACTCGGCACTCGCATTCAGTAGGTACCTGCGCTCACTTGGGGTGTGTACAGACTCCGGAGGGGCTCCTTCAGCCCAAGCGCTATAATCTGCACGGACAACTCACGTACTGCACTGATAACTCACGTGCTGCACGGATAACTCACGTGCTATAATAATAAAGTATGCTGCAGGCGGGCAGCCCCGATCCACACTCATCCTCACAATCAGGCCCTCAGCCTATATCAACATACTGCGGCATGCAACTCGATCCCATAAATATCCTCACAAATCACGTCCTCGGCCTCACTCAGTCATAAATCTCTCAAGCCACTCGGGAATTTAAGTAAAACAAGACATTCGACCCAAAATATTTATATGCGTCAAAATAGAGTCATAAAACTGAGTTATGCGGTAAACAAGTATAAACATGACTGAGTATAGATTTTCAATCGAATACAATGAGAGGATAGTGAGAAAAAGCCCCTAAGGGTCCAAACAACACTGACGCAAGGCCCAAACATGGCATTCAGCCCAATTTACAGAAACTCTTTCTAAAACATATAAGTATCATATAGTTTTAACAAAGTATGCAACTTTACAGTTGCTACGGGTCGGACCAAATCACAATCCCCAACAGTGCACGCCCACATGCCCGTTACCTAGCATGTGCGTCACTAAAAATAGTAGAATGATACAAAATTCGGGGTTTCGTACCCTCAGGACTAGATTTACAATACTTACCTCAAAATCACATTCCGGACGCACTCCTAAGTCCAAAATCACCTAACGGAGCTAACAGAACCATCAAAATTCAAATCCGATATCATTTACACATAGGTCAATATCCGGTTGACTTTTCCAACTTAAGTTTCTAAATAAGAGACTAAGTGTCTCATTTCACTCCGAAACCACTCCGGGCCCGAACCAACTAACCCGGTATATCATAATATAACTTAAGAGCATAAAGGAAACAGAAATGGGGGAAACGGGGTTATAACTCTCGAAACGACCGGTCGGGTCGTTACATCCTCCCCACTTAAACATACGTTCGTCCTCGAACGTGCCGAAAGTTGTTCCAAAAGCCAAGAAATGGCCGTGTAACTTTCCTATGCACATATTCGGGGGTGATCCCACGTCACCCTATCTCATATAGGTCCGATAACACAACATAACTGAAATTCTTCAATTCAACCTAGTGCTGGTAATAAACCTCATATAAGACAAAACCTCATTCTAAAACCTTCGTACACTGCCGATGATGAAAGAAACATACCAAATTCATAACCATTCATTAGACCAACATGTCATGGAGCTCCCGTTCCTTCTACAAAAACTATAGCCAATTTCAAAGTCGACTTTCAATATTATCCTCCCAATTATACCACAATCAAATCTGATAGCATCCGTTCTAGGCCCAATGACCTCGTCTCATCCAACACGACCACTCTAGTGACATGACACATCAATACAATCTAAAGCCACAACCCGTGCACCAGATAGCAACATTCC